CGCCAAGCGGTCACATCTTGCCACGCGCTCGAATTGGGCGGTAGGCCGGCCTAAGACAACGATTTTTAATAATTAATTACTCGTTAACTATTACGAAAATTGCAAAATGGTACAGGACTTTTCCGTTCATCTCGATCCGTTCTATCTTCTAAAAAATTTTGTCGGATATGGAAAGACTCACCCTGTATACAGGGTGTTATATAATACCCGCCTCACCTCTTATTTACGGATAGAGCGGATTAGACTGAGTTGAAAAGTCCTGTATCATTTTGCAATTTTCGCGATGGTTAACGAGTTAGTAATTATTAAAAATCGCTGTCTCAGCCCGGCCCAATTCAAGCGCGTGGCGAGATGCGGCCATCCCGCGATCGGCGTTACTAGGCGCGCGGAGAGTTGTTTATGACACACGGTAACGGCTACGTATAATAAACAACTCCCCGCGCGTCGACGGCCGCATCTCGTCGCGCGCTTGAATTCGGCACTAGGCCGGGCTATGATCTTTAACAATTAATAATTCGTTAACTATTACGACAATTGTAAAATGGCAGAGGACTTTACGACTTAGTCCGCTCTATCCGCAAGTAAGAGGTGAGGCAAGTATTACATATAACACCCTGTGTACGTAGAGGAAAGCCCTCTATTATGAGATAGATTTCTCAAGGCCCGTGTCCAAGTGGTCCAAGTCCAGGTCCAGGTCCAGGTCCAAGGTCCAAGGTCCAAGTGGACCAAGTTCTTACATCATGGACATAGGCCTTAATATGTGATAGCAGAGTTTTCAATACCCAAATTCAATCAAAAATCTTTTTTTTTGCAACGATTACACAATCTAAGAATGAATGTTTCACTAAACAGATTTCGCTCCAAGGGCATTAAATTCATGGTGAAATCAACAGACGATGTCCATTAATTTAACAGAAGTCCCCGCAATCTCATATTAGGAGCCTCTGTCATAATATGGGACTTTATTTTCAGAAATGTAATCACGAATAGTCATCGCCATGAAAAGAATTTGAGCCTGAAAATCTCCTAAAATATACCGAGTTATCAACGTTAGAAAATGTAGTTAGTAAATTTTCAAAAGCGCTTTGATTATCGTGCGAGTTCAAAAAGTCATTACTCGAAATCGGCGAAAGACGCCGATACTAGTTGAATTATTGGTCCCTTTTCATCATATTAATTTTTTACACGTTCACATGTGTATATATTCTTTGCACGATATGCGCCAAACAAATTTCAAGTGTTTAATCTGTTTCATTCTGTCCATTTGTCACAAAATAAGAGGACTGTATTTAACCTCCCGATTATCACCCCGTACATACGCTACACCGCAAGAGAAATTCCTTCGTAATTGCCGATTGCACCGATAATCGTTATCGATGAGTATATCCCGGTTTCTACGTTGCCGATTCGAGGAATATTATATCACCGTTATTTATTTTTGCGATCACCAGGTATCTTACCAAGTAGACGTGGCGGTTTTCACTATTACGCAATACGGCAATAAGGATACATTGCGTATACTGGATCTGCGATCGTAGAGAATCGGTTTTTGCGAAGAATACTAGAGTTTCTCGTTGCTCTGTAACGTTGCTCTACAGAAAATACAAAAATAAGCAATTCTTTTTTTTTGCGAAGAGCAGGAAGAAAAAGCAGGTTGAATGCATCTGGGACTAAAAGAATTATGTGTAGCTAATCGTCGCCGCACTGGAAACTGTGGACGGTTCCATATAAAAAAAATTAATATCGTCACGTATATCACACGGTGCAAATCGTTCCCGCGGCAGTTTTCTTTGCGGATATAAACGGAACAAAAGAAATTTACAAGACCACAAGAGCTAGATAATAAGGTCCGGTTACATTGATTTCGGATCCTAAAGCGGACCACGATCGCTTCAGGTTGATATCCTGTTACATTATCGTTTACGTATCAGACCTAGACTTCCCGAGTCAAATTCGAGCGTAATAACGCGCTGTCGTGGAAAACCTCGTCCCGTTTCCTTCGGTGACTGCCGTAATGGAATCTCAGCGGGAGAGATCGATATACAAGGAGTGCGGAGTGCGTTTGTGTGCTCGTTTGCACGCGGCGTGCATATACGTGGGTACCCGACACCAGGGGACAAAGATCTCGCAACCCTCACCAATGAAACAGCGCGCAATCAGTTTTTGCACGTCGATACTAACCGCATCCCAAAACGTTAGGAACTTGAACTTCCCACCGTAGGCGTGGTGCACGCTCGTGACATTATGCGGCACGATCGTGTACGTGTAATCGTAAAAAACCGCGAAAGCGTATTGCAGAAAAGTAACGGCATGGAATCCGATCGCTAGGCCCTCTCGCATCTCACGGCTGTTCACGAGTAGTGAGTCTGAAACGTGTAATTATCTTTTTTTTTTTATGGAGGACCGCACAGGACACACGCGCCG